TATTTAGTTTAATTGAGACTGATTAAGTTATGCGATTCATGCCAATGAAACTACCGCGAATTTCAGCTATTGATTTATGCACTTACACCCTATTAAATAAGATGAATCCGTACACTATTATCCGTATATTATGAATCAGTATTTTATTATACACTATTGAATAAGATGAATCCGTCATTCCGATAAATTAAAATATTACTGAGGCATCTCAGCGCTAAACGCAGAGTCAAATTTGACAGCAAATAAAATTCCTGGAGCTCCTTTCATCAATATATCAAAAAATCAAGTCTGCACTTTCGAAATATTGTCGGAATTTGAAAAGTTCACTTGACGAGTATTCGTGGTCCACTCTCTAGAGAAATCATGTCGAAAATCGATGTCAGTCTCGTACATTATTCAATCATGATGTGCCGAAGAGATACTGACTACTCTGACTTCTTGTAAGCAGCCTTAATTATTTCACATGTGGCAAGGCGACTTCAGGCGGTGAAAACAAATTAATATGACCTTTTTTAAAAATGCACTCATTTAATTGCTGCGTTATTATGGAGCTTCGATGATATCGAAATTTTCGCGCTTGTAATGAAACTTCTCCGATAATTTCAAACTTTATTAAATTCAAAATATCACTTCAAAATTGGTTATTTAATCCAAAATTCACTGGATAGCTAAACATGATATACTCACAATTCCCAACGAATTTCAATTATGAAATCCTCAGTACGTTACATAAATAACCTCTACTAGTGAACAATGCATTAGAATATTTGTAGTGCACCACATCTATTCGTACTTTAATATATCATAAAGAGACTGGTTGGATGAATTTAGAGTTCCTTATTCTTCTGACCTGCAACCGTCTATTTAACATATTTAACATTAGCCTTGGCTCATGTTTCGCTGTAGCTCGCCATGCAGCCATATCAGTGCCAGCTCAGACTCTGGACAGAAATGGAGAAACCTCTTGCTTCGAGAAAAATAAAATCTAATACACGAAATGATAGAGTAAAATTTACATTACATTCCAGTGCCAATATTTTTTCAGTACTAACAATTGAAAACGAGCACTTGAAAGATATATGATCAACTTTGATAGAAATTTGAACAACTCAAGTCTGAATACAATGCAAATTTGTTTACACTGCTACGTATGTTTCTTTTAATAAATAAAACTAAAATTTGACTAAAATTTAATAAAAGTTCATCGCCCGACAGATAAAGTGCGTCTCGAATCCTCGAGTCAGTAATGGTGTTCTCATTACGAAATAATTGCATTGGTTGAGTGTGGCCTTTATGTAGAGATTCTTTAACGACTTTTGTTCGCATTGTTTAATGAAGCTTCGTATAATTAAGAGATGAACTTTCCCTATTATTGACGCCGAGTCTTGACGTGGCCTTGAACTGATTTGAAATTTGATCGTTTTAAAATAAATCTTTTGAATATTTATCAAAATTCACTTGAATTGTTCTACGAATGCTGCAAGCTTAACTTCCGCCCTCTTAATGAGTTTTCATTAACATTATTTTGTAAAGAATATCACTCGGAATCAGGTATAAAGATTATAGACATGTAAAGAAATATGCGGTGTGAGTTTTACCAGAAATGTATTAATTAAATATTATGAATTATTTTTTACTGAAGAGGGTACAGAAATTATCTACAGTCTGCATGCCGCTCTATCTGATGCGTTAACGCTCCTCATGATGCGCATGATTACGCATGCCCTCCGGCTGAGGAGCGGGCTTCGCGTGACCGCTCTATGATTGCTGTTAAATTGCCTCCTCTGTTGCGTGGTCGCCTGGAAATTCACTGAACAGCTCTGCAGCGATACCCTCCAGTGCCATGACTGTCACCACGACTCTGCAGCGATACCCTCCAGTGCCGTGACTGTTACCACGGCTCTGCAGCGATACTATACAGCGCCGTGACTGTTACCACGACTCTGCAGCGATACCCTCCAGGGCCGTGACTGTTACCACGACTCTGCCGCGATACCCTCCAGGGCCGTGACTGTTACCACGACTCTGCAGCGATACCCTCCAGTGCCGTGACTGTTACCACGACTCTGCAGCGATACCCTCCAGTGCCGTGACTGTTACCACGACTCTGCCGCGATACCCTCCAGGGCCGTGACTGTTACCACGACTCTGCCGCGATACTATACAGCGCCGTGACTGTTACTAACGGTCACAGGTACGTGACAAAGTTTTTATTTAAAATTCTAATATCAGATGATTCAATGATGAAATTGAGTTTGTTTTCTTTCACATCAGTATATTCTTATGAGAAATTGATCAATCGCGTGTCGCGTGTGATATCATATTTTTTTGATTATTAGATGCAAAAGTTTAGATACATCTAAATAGAAAACAGAATCAATTTTTAAATTGAAATTTCAGAAGTCTGGGAGGTATATGACTGTCACATGACTGGTAAGAGAATGGATGAATTTGCAATTAAATCCAATCAACTATCTCAATGCTAACGAATAGCAGATGTGAAACAAAGCTCTCAATTAAAAATCAGGTGTAGGCGCTGTAGTTTCATGGATTAGATGCTAATTTCTGTTTATTTAGAATAAATTCATGTGTGGGTGAATTAAATTCAAGGTATCAATACTAGTGTCGGTCTAAGCAATAATCACAGAAGCCCTAGCGCTGCGTAATGAAAGAGCTTCTCGTGACGGGCCGCAGCACCTCCCTACAGCTTCGATCTTGCGTGTGCTAAGTGACGACCATGAAACATGCAAGCTTTTCTTTCACCGTAAATGCTGAAAAATATGTCTTATTGGTTATATTTGCCATATATGTGTTGATGGGTCATATTGACCATATATGTGTTGATGGGTTACATTGACCATATATGTGTTGATGGGTTATATTGACCATATATGTGTTGATGGTTATATTGGCCATATATGTGTTGATGGTTATATTGGCCATATATGTGTTGATGGTTATATTGACCATATATGTGTTGATGGTTATATTGGCCATATATGTGTTGATGGTTATATTGACCATATATGTGTTGATGGTCATATTGACCATATATGTGTTAATGGGTTATATTGACCATATATGTGTTAATGGGTCATATTGATCATATATGTGTTGATGGGTCATATTGATCATATATGTGTTGATGGGTCATATTGATCATATATGTGTTGATGGGTCATATTGACCATATATGTGTTGATGGCTTATATTGACCATATATGAGTTATATGGCTCGTTGCAATAAAATGGTGATACACTTGAAGGACTGATGCGTCCCTTGCTCACAGGGATAAACTGTGCCTGGGTGACCCACAACGGGCAAATATTGCATCGCTATTTATACAACGTTCCACTCATTCCTATGAGTGAATAACGAATACTTATAGGCAAGCTTATCGTTCTCTCCCATCAAAGAAAAGAGTTAGATGTACAAATTAAAAAAATAAACACAGATTATATGATGATGATCGAATAATTTACGAACGCAATACATTTAATTTACAATTTCCTTGAACAGTTTCAGGCTAAATTAATCTCTTGATTAATCATGAAATGGTCTTGAATGTTCATAAAACAGTCGGCGATTCACTCCAAATTTCTTCATAACTCAACTAACATTTCTACACCTCATGATCAATGCTCTCAATGCTTCGATGAAGAAAAATATTGATTGAAACTTCATACATACTACCTCAACGTGGTTTTAATGAAAATTATTCAGAGTGAAAAGAGCCTGTTATATTGTACCAATCAAACCTGCTGATTGGAATTTTTGTCACGTCGAAATTTGGTCGCGGTGTGCATTGACGATTTATTGGACATTTTTTAACCAAGTTAGTTCACAGCACTCTATCAATCGAATCAATTTATTTGAATTACTGAATTACGCTCACTAAATTACGCTCAATAGACATATTTTAACTTTAATTTCGACATTGATACATTCCTTCAGTACATGCAATCGAAGCTGACAGTATGTAACATGAAAATAAAAATATGCATGGATTTATTGGAATAAGAGGCAAATAATTGGTAGAAAAGCTACTACACATAGTAACAAATGGTTGACAACAATCATATTGTGGTCCAGAATTTGAAATTGAAAAAATCATCCTGCCTATAAATTAAAAATACGCTACCTTTTACCCTTAAATTTCGAACGTCACGAGTTTTTTCATCGAAGGGAAATAAAGGACTTATTTCTTAAAAACTTCATTGGTTGTCACATTAGAAGTGTAACTTTTACTCGCACGATGCGAAATTATGATTTGTATATATATAACTATCCTCATAGTTAAAATATAAAGTTTAACTATGTTAAACTTTACATATAAACCTAACATAGTCTAAATATAAATATCCTGCAATTCTACACTAAAAAATGAATGAACCATCTTGTCCAAATGGTGGCACACTTCTTGCATTTAGCACGGATACGCTTTTACGTCGGGTCAAACTGGGATTAAATATGACCTCAATAGGAAGGTGAGAGCAATAATGGTACCATGATTAACTATGACCCTGACAAAGACGAAAAGTGCAGTGCTATTTGGAAAAAGTCTCACTCATTTCATTGAGTGTAGATGCACGTTACCCTCAGCGACTCCCCTACGCCAGGGTCGACGTTGGACTGCGCCGCTGCCGCCCTCAGTGCCCCGCGGTCTGTCACGGAGGAAGGTTGCGCGATGACTTCCCTCCAGCGCAGTTATCGAGGACCTGCTGGATACTTTAACTTATGTTGAAAATTCTCAGGTCATTATCGCTGATGCGGGAACTGTTCTTCGAGCGAATATTATTTAATGAGCTTTTGCGATGAAACGTTACGAAAGAAAGTTAAAAATGAGGTAAATAGGCAATTTTCCAGAGCATTGAAGCAGTTCGGAAAAAATAATGAATAAGTCTTAATGGTGTTTGAAAATTTTGACTGTTCTTAGAAGTGTGAGAGACTGTACGCAAACTTATTGAAACATAAATTTGTTCGAGTTGTTATGGGCTTTTAAATACATCGTCTTCTTATCCTACTGCTGGTATTAAGACATTGCAAGACATGATACACGTACGTTATTTCACGTATTGAAGAAAGGTGAAGTGGAAGGTGTGTGAATCTAGAAACGATGAAGCACAGCGCTGTGTGTGTGTTACTGACGCTGGCTCTTACGTGTACAGGTGAGGGGAGCATAGTGGCTGTGTTCTATGTGTCTCGGTTGTTCTTCTATGTTCATATACTGGAATCGGCACGACGGTTGAATAAATTAATTGCTTAAAAGATTCAATGTTTTAACATGCTAGCTCAATTCCGTGTTACTTGGATGTTTTTTTTTTAATTCATGCACTGCAGGCTGGTACGTATAGGTTGAATGATTTAGATGGTTTGCTGCATCGTCATGTTTATATAGGTGGATTCACATAGTTGTATGGTGAGCTTTATTGTGCATACCTCAATTGTTACTCTATATCGAAGCACAGGACATACCCTACTGGTTAAATTAATGGTTACCTAAATGGTCAGATTTATTCCGTATGTCTCGGTTGTTCTTTCATAATCATGCACTGCAAATTCACATTAAAATTTTAAATTCAGATTCGTCATAGGAAAAAGTTAATTTTTCAGAACTGCAGATAGTCAATCTACTCTATTATAGGAGAGATAGCATCATAATTACTAAACGATAATCATCAGAATGTTAGTTCATATAATAGTCACAATTTTGATTAGCACGTTCTATATGTTTATTAAAAAAACTACAGCATCAGTTAATTAACTTTCTTCATTTGATTCTGAGTGTTGATGTAGAATGAGATCACTGTAAATAAAATTGTTGAATTCAGCGATGATATAATTATATAAATACCTATATTTCAATAAATCAATATAAAAATACAACTGAACCATACTATCTCATATAAATGTTGAAGCTTTGGCATGAAATTATCGCACACATTTTTTAGAACTTGCATTCTGAGTTTTACTACTAATCATTTATACATATTTATATAAAAAGTCTAATTTAATCGCAAGTTCAGCAAGAATTTTGCAGAAAAGAAAACACCCTATAAATGAAAAAAGATTTAATAATTTTTAAATGAAGATGAGATAAAATTATTCAAATTCTCACTAAGAACCTACATTGGTTTACTGATTATTAACCAGCGACTCGACAGAAGAAAGGATCTTGATTACGTCAAGAAACTGCTGAAATATAAACGGTTGCAGAAGCCACTAGATCCGAATTTTCTTTCCAAAACATCTACGAAATGGATTTGGGACAGCAGTTGTTTAATATGCAATTTTACAATTCAATTTTTCGTAACTCTTAATGAAAACAGCGAATCTCACTCCCGTCCAGCGAATCTCACATCTGACGCGCCATCATATAATTTTTCCGGTTGTCCCTTTCTTAAATAATAATTAAATATAGAATTTGTCTGCTTTATTTTAATTTATCAGCTTTATTAGAGTTGATGCGTTTTCCATGCCTTCAATGCAATGCCAGCCGTAAACCATTTATTACTTATTTCAGGCACTAAATCCGTGGACGATCACGCCAATGATGAATGGACGGTCAGAGTAAGAAAGACTGCGAAAATTTCAACTCATCCAGCACTTCTTGTGCGGCATGGTGCAAGAAGCTCTTTTGAACAAATATATTCACCACAGGCATCCCGAACAGAGACTAATTATGTTCCAAGAGACAAAAACATCAAACAATCGTTAGAGACTGGAAATTTTAGTTATAAGTTTCATGTTATCGAATCCAATTTCGAACCTGTAAAAACACGCGTAGTTTCAACCACCAACACACCAAAATTCACAAGAAATTTCAATAACATCAACATAAAGACAAAAGGGATTGATCCTTCCAATGAAAACACAGGCATTCTCAAGAAACTAGAGACGCACGGATCAAGAGCCTTCAGTTACACGAAGGCTAAACTAAGAGGAGATAGCAAACCTTCAGCTGGCAATCCACCCCATCGTACAGTAAAAATAAACGGAAGCGTCGGGACGCCTGATATATCAGGCAGTCGGTCGCAATGGAAGAAGCAAAATAAAGGCAAACATGGAGGGGATCACTGGGTGGAATACGACTTCGATCAAGGAACTTCGACCACAACTGTGCACCCTTCACTGCCGGAGAATCCTGAAGGACTGAAAAACCCCACACTTTTGGTGGGCCTATGGATTGAGGAGCCGAAGGAACGCGAGTCAAAAGCACATTTTGGGTGAGTTTAGAACAGAAATTTTGATTCCCGTCAAGTATGTTAAGGATATGCAAATGTCAGAATTAAAGCACTAATTCTACGCATGCAATTAATTATTGATGAGTCATCTATACGTTGAACGTAAACAATTTGTGTAACAAGAATAATGTCCTCGGCAAGCAAAAATATGATCAGACTCACAAAAAGGAGCACGAATTAATTTGCTAAAAACCGCAATGAGTTTGCTCGAATTAAAATCTAATCATCATCAAAATTTAACTCTAGAGATGTATAAAATAAACAAAATTAATTTCGAGTGCCATCTACCAGTTCTAACAGCATTCAAAATTCAAATATTTTCTGACAGACACCATCGGACATCGAACGAAAGAAAACCTTTTTGAATTTAAAAGCAATAAAAATTATCATAAAAGCTAGATATTCTGATTTAGTTCAGCTCACGTTTTTTGGCTACTCTCATGTATTTCAGCAGAGGGCTCTAAGCATTAGCGACTTCCACAGCCTACCATGCATCATTTTTACCTCACGGCGTAAAAATTTGCCGGCTTCGCCCTCGGAACAACGCTTGAATATTGCTTCTCATAACTCAGCTGCTGCTGACGCTTCCTTTGGCAAAGTTTCCTGCTCTTCATAGATTTTTTTAAAAGCTGTTCTTGTTATTAATAACCCATTAACGCACAGCAAAATAAATAACATATTGTGCTTCGGCAATATGTTACCCTTCAAATGAATTTCATGGCACCCTTCAAATGAAATGGCACCCTTCAAATGAATTTCACCTGAAACCCCAATGTAAAAATTTTCGTGTTTTTTATGACAAATAATTTTACAAGTGATGAAACTCTGGAAAAGTCAACTTTACATTTTTTAGTGATTATGTCACTCTATGATCAATGTTATGGTTGCGCTGCAAGAACCACAGATCTGCTTAGTTGAATAAGATAAAATATTTACACGTTTGCATACTCATCCATTAATTTTACGATTACGTTGTAAAAAAAGCAATTTAATATGTGCTTAACATAGAGATAGGCAGTTACCCATCGACGATGGGAAATCTTATAATATTGTACAAAATATTCAGTTATCAATATTTATTATTAATAGTAATGCAGTGATAAAGTAAGGTAGTAGATTTTATGAGGGAAGAAACGAATTTCGATTGGCCTCTCAAAAGGAAAATTAGTTCGAGCTCAATAAATTTAAAAATTACAGAACTGCCAGGAATATTAAATTTTTTTAGTACGTAATAGATGATGCATTCTTATCGCCCATTACTAGAATTACAATCCACGCTCTTACATAAACACATTTTACCGTCAATAGAACTAGTTTTAAATTCATTGAACTGGCGCCAATTATGTTAATTGAAACCTTCATTCCCAGTGGACAAAGAAAAATAATCAAGAGCTTATAATTTATTCCACATCATTCTCGCTCCCGGAGTTTCTAAGCAACAGTTCAACGCAGCTTAATGCAAGTAACAAAATGCGCATCGTATTTTCTCATTTAAACATTGAAATACAGTAAAAAGATGAACCTTTCTCCGCATAGTTAAATGTTAGATACATTTCTCACTTCAATATTTCACAAAGATACATTTTAAACGCGGAGTATACGGATTAATTTACGGTCGTCAATGCTATTCGTACCTATACGGTCTGGAAATAAGTGGTCCCGTAATAACACAGAAGGCTAAACGTTCAATGAACTGCTAAATAACAGCTGATAATTATTCGATATTTCCTTCAACAGAGGGGAGAACAATTCCCTGGTGCACGCACAAATCGATACCACCGCTAAATTGCCGTGTGTTATCTTCAACAGGGATGACCATGAAACCGTGAGTGTGATGTATTAAATTGTTGCATAAATCAGAGTATTATTTTAAAGAGAGATAATCATGAGACTGTTAGTGGGATATTATGATGTTTTATAGATCATTGCACAACGAAAGGTGTTATTTTCAACGACGGAAATCATGAAACCAAAAGTGTGATTTTGCGAGATAATGAAACAATGGTATCAAACACCGTAGACCATTGATAGAAAGTCCAACAATTATTAATTTTGGGGTTACAATGTTCTATTCCAGCGTCGGTGAAGCAAATTGAGAGACCTAGGCCGTGCGTTATAGGTTCATGTAGGCAAAAGATAATTCAATAGAATCACTTCAATAGGCCCATATTTGGGGTGAGAAGATATTTGGATATTTCCAAATAGCGGAGAAATATTTGGCTGAGAATAACTCACAAGAGAAAGTCAACTCTCAGCTAAGCTGAGAAATGAGCATTTCAGTAGTGTCACGGTGCCCAAATTTTAATTTACTTTTTTCCTACTATATTTGTTACTCCCACTACATGCGACACTTGATCGTCCCAAACTGAAATGAGTGTTAATTATAAAGATCCAAAAAATTCCTTCATGTTATCTCTGTAGTCAAGGTTAAGTATACGATGAGAGTATCTTGATAAATTTAATTTGAAAATTTATCAAGAGTATCTTGATAAATTTTCAATCCATAAATATGTTAAATTTGCTCGATGGGCTCGAACATGAAAATGAGTTTTTACAACGGGAACATTCCACATGTCGTCAGTCAGTAGGCGAAATTGCATTGTACTTCTGATTGCATTGTATTACAAGACATAGAATTATAATTAATTTAATCGAACAAACTTGAATCTAGACGTGGAAACCCAAATCAATGAAATGTATAGACGGTTTAATGAAGATGACAAAAAATGTATGCGCATCGATCGTGTGTGATGAATTTACTCTCTGCTCTACATAAATCGTGATATGTGAACAATATTTTCATTTGATAATATATTCTCCTTACAAGCTTGAAACGTGATGAGCTAGCATCAATACAATTGAAATAATGTAATTTGATGTTTAAAATGAGAAAGAGATTCGTAAGTTCGGATATTTTGTCACCCAGATTTCGTGGATACGAAGTCGCGACCACCACCTCATCACGGTGGGGCGGCAGACCTACAGCAGCGACAACCGCTTCTCTGTTAACTTCAACAGGCACCTCAGTGTGAGATAACCATAACGAAACATTTATATTTTCAGCTTGAATCTGAACGTTATTGCAAAAATGTTCGCTTCCTTGCGAACATTTTTTTACGGCCGGAATATTTCCCTTACACTGAAGGGCAAGGGAAATACAAGCAGGCACCTCGACGTAAAAGGAGTGCCAACAGGCACCTCAGCGTAAGAAAACCAAGAGTGAAGCGTTCATTTTTAAACAGTCATTTCAGTTAAAAAAACTATACTAAAATACATCGTATTTAAACAGGAATCTCAAGGTAAGAAAATAACAATATAAGTGTTCGTTTTGTAACGATTATAAGATCACCCATGTTCGGCTACTGCCTGCAAGTTTTGTTATGTGTCTTCATTTGTTTTTAGCAGTAATATAACCTAGGGACAAATATTTTATTTTAAATGTCGCGCATGCACTTAATGATTAATATTTCAGTTGTTGTTGTTATTGTTGTTACATTTAGCTTAAGATATATACAATCAGGCATGTTGGCTGAATGCATCACTTGAACATTTAAAATACAATGGTTCTCTAAATTTTTTTTTTAGTTTTCCCTGTTGATCATAAATAAGTTTTTCGTACAAATTATGAGAGCGTGAGCGAAGAACACAATAATCGATTAGTTTTTGCTTTCCTCGAGTTATGTTAATGATTTCTGATTTCCTTGTCCTTTTATGATAAAAAATCCTTATTGCACATGTTTCCCCTTAAGTACGAATCTTAGTCATTTGAAGGGAAAATTTCCAATTTTGGGCAGCAATGGACGTTGTACGTACGCTACGTGCAGCCGCGCGACGCAGGCGAGTACATCTGCCAGCTGTCGACGGATCCTCCGATGGTGCATCTAGTCAGGCTCTCCGTAACTGGTGAGTGTTTAGCAGAAGAGACTTTATTTTAAAATATAATTAGGGAAATTGGAACACAAATCTTAAAGTTTTTTAGGTTGAAAATTTTGAAAATCAGCATTGAAGCTGTAAAATCTTCAGCCCAGGCCTCGTCGGTGATCGCGGGCGGGCGCGAACGCTACGTGCACGAGGGTAGCAGCGTGAGGCTGGAGTGTGTCCTGCAGAACCACACGCAACCTCCCGACTACGTCTTCTGGTACCATAACGGTACCATGATTAACTATGACCTCAATAGGAAGGTGAGAGCTGTAACGGTACCATGATTAACTATGACCTCAATAGGAAGGTGGGAGCTATAACGGTACCATGATTAACTATGACCTCAATAGGAATGTGGGAGCTATAACGGTACCATGATTAACTATGACCTCAATAGGAAGGTGAGAGCCATAACGGTACCATGATTAACTATGACCTCAATAGGAAGGTGAGAGTTATAACGGTACAATGATTAACTATGACCTCAATAGGAATGTGGGAGCTATCACATAACGGCATTTGTAAAGAAATTAAGTATACTGTCAAATTGCAGCGCCGAGGTTTACTGCGACCCCAATAAAAAATTAGCTCTGTCGTGGCATGGCCTCACGATCTGCTACCAACATAACAAAAATGTTAGTATGACATATAACAGCATCACAATAAACTATAACCCTTACTCGTACGAGCGACCATACTCAGACATCATAATTTTTTATGCCGCAGTACTGCAATCAATTCTTCATAGCCTGGCTTTATAGTTTGTACAGTGTAACTTCCAAAGATTGTGTGCACTAAATAAATATTCAAATTGCATATTGTAAAATATATAAAATTATAAAAAATATAAATTTAGTTATTCATAAATTTATATATATACATAATCTATAATAATATAAATGATAGATTTAATAATATTTTCATCGCATAGAAACTTTATCAAAATCTCTGGAAAATTGCGTAAAACATAGGATGTCGTTCACTGGATCAAGAATTGCCATTCAGCGCGTGCACGCCCGCCAGTTTTCCAGGGAGACAGCAGCGTCATAAAACTTTGAGGGAAGTTTCAAGAACGTGGGAGCGATAGCCCAGGTGTTAAAGCGCATTTATGGCACATAAAAGTAATAAAAATCTCCCTGTTGTGGAAAAGAAAATGTATCCAAATAAGGAGAAAGCTTTTTACTTAATACTATTATGAGGAACCTGTTTTGATGAAGAGGTAGCTCCTAACTTATTCGCGAGTGAGGGCCTTGTGATGTGAGGTCAAGAAATTAGTCTTTGCGAACATCAAAATTTGAATTTGTTTGGCATTATTCCACGTTAATGGAAGTAATTAGATATATTTGAGGATGAATTTATTATAAAAATTTTATTGTTTCTATTCTAACGTTTCTTCTTCAGCAAAAATGTTTCTGCTGACGTTGCTGTCGGTTGGTATCATTATACTTCAGCAAACTCTGCTTCTGTCACTTCAGGTGTCAGTCGAAGCGACTACTGACGGCAGTGTGCTGACGTTGCTGTCGGTTGGTTTCATTATACTTCAGCAAACTCTGCTTCTGTCACTTCAGGTGTCAGTCGAAGCGACTACTGACGGCAGTGTGCTGACGTTGCTGTCGGTTGGCCGCACCGACAGCGGCAACTACACTTGTTCCCCCGCCAACGCGCAGTTCGCCTCCATCACTCTGCACATTATACTGGGTTAGTCACCATCACCTCAGTACAGTATGCACGCACACAACGCTTTTAACATAAGAAAAATAATTACGTCCGCTTCCACTGACGATCAAAATTTACCAATTAAGTTCCTATTTGTCGGGTCAATTCGGAAACTTGAATGGAAATCCAGAACTTTTCACAAGATTTCACGCATAGGATTACTAACTTCATGAAGATTTTTACACGAAAATATCTGTCAAATACGTGAGAGAAAAACAATCATTTGTTATTATATACGTTTTTTCCGATATAGATCACTCATGCGTCTCAAAAGTTTGCTTTCTCTGCCGCATGAAGCTAATTGAAAAACCAATTGTAAAGTAATTTCTATTCAAGACAAAAGCCTTGCTATAAGCTTTGATGAGCGCATATAACTGTACATATGTCTATTGCTTCATATATTTTTTCTACTCTCCGAATTCTCCTAGCGACAATAAATTGTTTTTCCTGCACTCACTATTACCAGGCGACACGTTGGCGGCCATGAAGGTATCAGGAGCGTCAGAGTTGGCCAGCTATAAATCTGCCATCTTTGTTCTACTCTCGGTCTACTCAACTCTACGCCCGCTCTTGTGACGCTGAACTCCTCCAGCCGCTGCCTATTATGGCGTTGAATTAAATAAGCTGTAAAATATTGTAAAATATCTAATTATTTCACATGAAAAAGAATATGTCTCTAAATAGATCTATGCTCGTATTATGTATTTATGTATGTGGATTTACAGAAGAAATGTTAGAATTGTCGTTATATATAAATGTTTCTGATTGTTACAAAAAATAATATTCAAAATATTTAACGTTGATGTCGATTAATATTTTATGAACGATTTTCCGCGGTTAATATTTATCCGCGTATAAGAGAAGAGATTGATAATATAAATCCAGCTAGAAATTATTTTCGTATAACTTCGTTAAATTTTGTTATTACCGTAATACATACATTAAATTTTAGCGTATTTATAATTCGCTATTTTAATCATTGAACACAATTTCGTAAATTCAAATTTTAAACTATTCTACATATGATAATACAAACACATGCTGCCCATCCAACAGACATTGCAATGTCTGTACCTGCGCTGTAAAGTTTACATCGTTAACTTAAACAACCTAAATTAAGGGAGCGCTTAAATTAATTCAGCGAATACCGTTAATCCAAGGGAAATTTCAGTCGCTGTTCGTACCAAATGTTGCTTAGTTGAATTACATGAATTACCGAAACTAATGAACGGAATAAATCAGCCCTTTTAATTAGTAATTTTAAAATAATTTATTGCAAGCTGTCGACAGAAAATTGATTTGAAATTAAAATCTCAACCTCGGTTTTCATAACTATTTACATAACTGTCTACTGCTGTCTTTTATCACTGTCTGCATTCAGGGGGCAGACAATGGAAATTTTTTTACTGTCTTAAATTTTTCTGACAGTTACTGCATAAGTGTCTAGAACGGACTTGGGTTCTACACACTTCGTTTATTTCCTAACGCTGCGTTTACAAGCGAACCCCCAAAACCTTTGCCAGAATCCCTGCAGCGATGTTCCACAATTCTGTGTTTGATCTCGAGCAGCCCGCAGCCCAGCATTTGTTTCTTCGGAACGACCAATTCTGTATAGGAATCCTATTGATTTTCTCGCAGCCGAGTATAGGCATTATATACCACGCACAAACGTGTGGTTGCAAGCGATGAATTTGCTTTAGAAGATATCGTATTTGAAAAATCTAATTCCATCAGTGTTGATGAACGGATTGATCAACTTAACAATGGGTGTTGAGTTATTCTTAATTTATTCAAATTTAGGCATTGGGAAAGTGAAAATGATATATGCATTATTATAATCTTATGATCACAATAAGTTTTTTACTAATTTATGCAATAAATGTTTCCGTCACTACATAAAAAGTATAGATATTGTCCTAGAAAGATCATGTCAAACATTTTCATTGTACAATGTAATAAATATTTGAATTTTCGTCATTTTAACTTCAGACCAACGAAATATTGAATCGTATATATGAATATAGGTAAGTAAGGTATGAAAAAAATGGGCCGAAACAAATTTCATCCCGTTTAAATACAGACTCAGTTTCGGAAATTTATTGAATAAATATGAAATTAAAGCCAAAAAATTAAAGAATTCTTAAATTACTCAATTATTTATTTAACATCTGCCTATGATATTTAGGCTTTTTCTTAGTTGTGGATATTTCCGTGACCATATTTTGAAACATGACTCGCTATGTATTGTTTGGCTATGTAAATATTGGAAGCTTACCTATAAGCTATATATATGAATATATACATGACAGAGTGTACTAAGTTCAGGCTCAAATAAAATATACAATGGAAATGGGTTTTATGCTTATTATGGTTTCCTTTGCATTGCATTTCTAGCATTTAATAGGTAATATATTGGTATACAGTAAATTCTAGTATGAACGCTATTGCTCCTGATCTGAGAACTTACAAAAACCTATATTTCATCTGAAAACGAATATCCTCTGAAAACGAAGTGATAAATTTATATATGGTTTCGTTAAATTACTTTCACTTCTCCTTACGTGCGTGCGCATTAGAACTTTTTAAAATGTGTTCGTTCGTATCAGTATGAAGTTTTCAGTCTCTTTGGGATCCCGTCATTATTTAGCAAATAGTTTATCTCAGCAACTCAATTCTAGTACAGGAGTTAATGGAAAACAATTTTTTGAATCACGAACGCGCGAGACGGAAAGACTGAAAATTTTATAATATTACCAAAACAGTTAATGAACATCGAATGAACTGGATGTCCGTTCAAGAATTTGCCCTTATTCCCAAGTTTGCTAGCTTTTTATGTCTCTTACTATCATATAGTAATTTTCTTGAGATTCGCGAATAAGATTATTAACTTGTAATTTGAAAGCAAAGAAAACAGCCAGAATATTAACCATTTCTTAAGAATGAAAACGTTTCGGAGTCCAGCTTCATCGTCAGTTCAAAAGTTCATAACCAGTAAAACGTGGTAAAGGGAACAGTGAAAATTCCATGGTTTACTGGTTTTGAACTTTTGAACTGACGATGGAGCTGGACTCCGAAACGTTTTCATTCTTAAGAAATGGTTAATATTCTGGCTGTTTTCTTTGCTTTTAAATTCCTGGTAAACTTGCGACTTAAGCAATCTAGTAATTTTAATTATTAACTTCTATCATTTCTTAAACATGGTAGTGTTTTGCCGCCCTAAAAAGGAAATGCTAACGGCATCGAACCTATTACATGGCTTTCCACCTCCGAAAAATATTATTTTTAATACTTGCTTAAGAGAAACTTTTCACAAATTAGAAGAACATTAAAGAGCAATAAATTTAGCCGTCTTACTGCCCGCCCTTGAGACCGCTTACAGCAGCCCTTGCCACGCTCTTTGCGGCCTCATTCTGTTCTTTTTGCCGCTTCGTTAGCCTCACGTTGTGGATCCTCTTGAAAATAGGGATGCTGGCGGCGGCTCTTATAAAAAATGGGCCCATTTGCAGGGCCATCATTTTATTCGTTCAATTAGGCCAGGGATTAGCTGCCATGACCTCGTAGCTCTGAGAATTTGGGGCATTCTATTTGGCTGGACAGCTTGTACAAACTCGGACGAAAGATTTTGTTTTTCTCTTATAAGTAATGGCACAAGCGGCTCGAACCGTTACCCGTTGAGTTCTAGGTCCATAACAACTGTAGGTATATGAACGGAAAATGATTACTATAATAGTAACAGAAAGACTTTGCTCATCCAAAGTATTTTGCGACTCGCGGTGAAAATCGGTAACTCTGAAATCACGGCATTACAGGTAGGTTCAATAAAGATGCTGGACAAACTTAAAATTGTGTACAAAAGATTTATAACTAAAATATTATCAAAAACGCATAACAGAAATTCGTAATTAACTTCAGTGATTTTTCGTTAGAAACACATGCTGTATAAGACCGAGCGTTCGACGCTTCGAATGGCTTTCAGCTCATTTGTAGCCGCAGTTATCGGGTATAATTGCACTGCTTCAGCGAACACAATGACGCGTCAGAAAAATGTGGCTCTCTATGGTTATCAGAGCCTCGCTATCGCACTGATAATGAGCGTTACTGCAGACCCACGCCATTAAAGTCACTGCCAGGAGCCGCATATTGACCGACAAACTTGCGGTCTAATCCGCAATTCTCGGGAGATGTGTCAGACGAGCTGAGAAACTTAAGAAAACTTGTCCAAAAAGAGCAATTTTTTGGCTGAGCGATAGGAATATTCGCGAATCTTCTGGTTTCAATGCATTGGATACAAAGGGAATTAAATTAATTAAATTAAATAGAATTAATTAAATGCGGAATCGCTTGAAAAAATGTTTCTATGAACATGTTTTGCCTTTCATGTTGAATTTGTACAATAGATTTTCCCCGATTTGCAAATCATTTAGTCTCAACCTCTAAGAACACAAAGGCCCCACGAATTCAAATTTCATTCTCATATCTATTTAAATGTTCAACTGTATAAGGAAGGCCTTTTCAAAAGTATGACTTTTTTAATTCCGTATCTATGCCCAAGTGACAGCGCACGAAATTGTTCCAGGTACTACAAAGGAAAAAATATATCGCAGCAGGCAATGTCAGGTTGAAACAACGTACCTCACAACTTTGAAATAAATTTGAATATTTGACTAGAATGAAAAGTGAATCAACTTAATTTCTTTCAATGTCATACGAGTTGAATTCTGACGTTAAAAGTGCATTCATAAAGGATTTCAACAGGTAAACATTTTCTGTCATGAATGTCACAGTATATGAGCACTTAATTACAATAAACTGCATTTAAAATAAATAGAATTACTATTTGCTCCCTTAGCTACAATTGTATACCCTGCTCACGCGACTTGCATGTGATGGTAATTTAAAGGTTTCCGGGCGTTCAATTTTTCATTTGGCGATTAATAAAAAACTAAATAATATCAATATAATTTAGTCACGGAACTTACTTTTCAATAAATTATGATGTAGAAATTTAGGTCAAATAGCTCATTATATCTCCCTTGCGGTACAGGTTCGTCGTGGTCTCCTGGACAAAGGCAAGTCGCGCGAGCGAGACGTCCGCGGGTTTCCAATCCAGCTAAAGTTGATTTATTTTATTCAACGAAGAAGTAAAGGTAAGTGGAAACATAGTGTAGCAAATAGTATTTCCATAAATAATAAATGCAGCTCATTATAATGCGGTGCGCATATACTGCGACATCCACGATAGAACATGTAAACATGACAAAACCTTTTATAAATGCGATTGTATCGTCAGAATTCAACGCGATTTTAACGTTTACACAACTTCGAAATGAACTATGTTGAAAAAAATGACGCTGATTCACTTTTCATTTGAGGCTAATCTTCAACGTAATTTCAGCGTCGCAAAGTACGTTATTTCAACGTTTATTCAACTTGATATTGACTGTATGGCAATTATTCCCTTTTCTACCTTATTGGGCCTTAAAGTTAAGTCATGCATTGAAAAGAACCGACTAAAGCTCCGTAGCATTTGGCCTGGTTTCCTGATTCATAAATTGTTTCTGGTCATAATTCCGCTGTTATTTTTAACGAAGATTCCTAGCTTGGTTGACCTCGCCGCTCGTTTCTTGTAGAAGAAACAGGCACACTTCGTGCGCCGGCTGTGGCTGCAAGCGGATGTGCGCTGCTCCGTCAATCCTTTGTTCCTTTGTTTGCAACTTAGGCCAGTGTCATGTAGTATGATCTTCGTGAATCTTTAAACAACCGTTTGACAAGATGACTTCATTGCGTGGATCGTTTTACAGTGAATATTGTGTCTAAGTGATCACTATGCACGAGAGCAGTTCGTTTTCCGGCTCAGTTCTTTTTTTCCACCCTTGGCTA